CATACATAAACACTAACGTTAACAAATACATACAAAAAAAGGTTAACTGTATTACTGTGTAACTTGTAATGATGTAAAATTTACAAGATCGTAACAATTCGTCAGGACTAAAGTATTCATACAGTTCGAAATTGGTCGCATTAATTATGTTAACATTATAATTAGTATTTTGTTGGGTTCTCTTTCTGATGAATAACTGAATGTAATCTATTTGGCATAGATAATACTAAATTTTTTATAAAATCTGGGTGTATATTATACCATTCTTTTCTTACTACATCTTTTAGATCAAACTTTGATTTTATATTATATTTTCGTATCCTTTTTTCAAGTTTGCACTATAGTTCCTCAAGGACAAGTTTCGAACATCGACTTGTACAAATCGCAAGTGGCTGTGCGTTTAGCGTCGAAGTCTAGAGTGGAACACTGCTAGGATGGGGTGACCGTCCAGCCTAGCGAGTAGTTATAACAAGCGTCTGGGGTCGCTACCATCAGCACCACTGATGAGTCTAGGCCAGCGACTCTGAGACAAACTTTCCTCACCTTATTCTCACCTCCATCCTTACATTCTTCTTCCATTTGCACCCATCAACACTCTTCGCCCTTCAGCACCATGTGTTCGATGGGGTTTATGTCAGGTGATTGTGGGGAATAAGTAACATATGAGGTGTGTTATATAATAACCATTGACGTATCATATGAGATGTGTGTTTCAGATCGCCGTCTTGTTGGAAATAAAATGAAGTTCCAATACTTAATTCATCAGCATTTTTGTAAATTTTCTTTTAAAATGTTCAAATATAAATTTTTATCCATTGTCGTATCTATAAAAATCAACTTTTCAATGTCAGAAGCAGCAATGCACACCATGACACTTCCATGCTTTACTGTGGGTTTTAAATTCTTTGTTTCCAATTCCGTATTTGGTTTTCGCCATATTTTTTTGCAACCATCTGATTCGTAAATATTAAATTTTGACTCATCTGAAAATATTACATTATTCCAAAAATCAGGATTAACATTTATATACTGTTTGGCAAATTCTAGTCTTTTCTTTTTATTTATTTTACTAATGAACGGCTTCCTTTTTGCTACTTTGTTTCTATATCCTGCTCAATGTAATAGTCTTTGTATTGTTTTTGGATGTACTTTATTTTTCCTGGACTTCTGTCGCAATTTCAGATGTAATTGTCTCTAGTTTTTTCTTAATAATTTTAATATTTCGTTCTTCCCTCAAACTTAATCTGGGTCTACCATTTGACAAATTTTGCAATATTCCATCTTCTTTATATTTATTTACTACATTTTGTATCGTCGAGCACTTCTTTTGACAATACTTGAAATATTTGCATAAAATTTTCCTTCTTGATGTAAATTTATTATAATTTTTCATTCTTCTAATGACGTTTCTTTACACTTCCTTCCCATATTGCAAATTATTTAATTATAACGTGTTGTCACAATGACTATTCTGGGGAAACTAACATCGAATTATCAAATTACAATGTTTATTCTGACTAAAATGTTTTGATTTCTACGTATGTCTTATATTTGTCAACAAAAGTAATACTGTACGAATACTTTTGTCCTAACGAATTGTTACTATCTTGTAAATTTTATATCATTACAAGTTACACAGTAACACAGTTAACCTTTTTTTGTATGTATTTGTTAACGTTAGTGTTTATGTATAATACATAATCACATTTACATAAATATATCTAATAAATTAGAAAATATTGGTGTTTTTATTTCGATATAGCAAGTGTATAAATACTTTGGTCCCTCACTGTATATATTGGATGTATTGCGCATTTTGAGAGTTGCATTTTTGTGTGGTTTTGGTTACTCTAGACGTTCGAATTAGGCCCGGTGCAGGTCTGAAGGCGGTGGTTTTGGAAGAACAGAGACGCAAAGTTCCTAAAAGAAAGAATAAGAGAATATTATATCTCTGTTTTTTAAAAAAAAATCTCTGTTGGAATGATTTGCTGTAAATCGGCTGCATCGGGCCTGCAACATTCGCTGCTAATTGCTTATTTTTATTTTATATAATGTATATAATAGATTTCGTAAATTGAAAGATCTACCTTCCTACGGAGAATTCTTGAAGCCAAGGTTTTATATCTTTGGTGTTTCACAATTCATTCCTTTCAAATTTTATTTCGATCAGTGATCATTTGAAACTAAACTAAATAAATATACGGTAGTTAATCACCATTTACCAATCAAAATAATTTTAGAAAGTAATGTAATTGGTTAAAAATTATTTTTAAAACCAATGAAACATAAATAATTGTATACATGAAATGTATATTAATATTAAAACACGGATAGAGCTCTCTGTGATATATACATAGATGCATAATATAAAACTGAATAGTTTTAGATACTGATTTCTTTTATCGGAATCTGGAGGCATAGACAAAGTTATGTACCTCACAGACGAAGTACATGAATAGACATTGCATTTTACGGACTTTCGTGGCAAAAATCTATAACGAATTATGTAAAAGTTACGCTTATCAATCAAAATATTATTCGAAATTTTAATGAATTACTTTGTCTATCAATATTATGATAATAATTAAATTTTGTTATTTATTTAATGTAAATTTTCAATGAAGATTTCATGAATAATATAAATATATCTACAGTATATATCCTCATATATTTCGTAAGAATTTTTTAAAGAAATTATTTTTATTTTATTAATTTGATTTAATTCAAATGTGAAATAAGCATCTTCTTGAAAATCAAAAATATGGATTAGTTATTTTTAATATCATTTAAATAATTTTATTTAATTCTATTTAAATTTCATTTAGATGGAAATTATACTTTTAATTATTATTCATTATTTAAATAAAAATTTGTCCAAATGATTCAAATGCGGGTAGTCGATACTTCCGGTTGAATCGAATAATATTGGTTAAGCTCGGGTTCGGAAACACGAAAAATTCTCTAATTTGCTTGTTTCGCTACTTTAACCATTTCATCGAATCGACGGACATATCAGTAACAGAAATGTGGCAATCATGTGAGACTTTTAGGTTTTGGCAACTGTTCTTTCATCAGAAAAACCGAAACTTGCCTGTGTTCCTTTAATTCGCTTTTCTTTTGTCATTACACACAATAGTGAAAACAATTGGGTGAAAGTAGACTGACTACTCCCTCACCGATTTCGGTGATTTTTGAATGTATTGTGAAGGTATTTTAAACAGTTTTTTCCTCTGATGGATATGCTCGACTTTGTTTGTTGAGGAATGGAACGTTCAGAGTATCGATTTCTAAATGATATTTAGAGTTCTTCGAAATCAGTGAAAGAATGGTTAATCTACAAGTTCATCGGCAATCAGAATGGAGGAAAATACGAATGAACAATGTTTTAAACTTATGTAATCTTAACATATATGTATATCATTAAATTATTCATATTTTGTATCATTTTTATTAACAATTTATAATAATAAATGATTTCGGTAGTTGAAAATGCAACTCGGTGAATTTATCTTGACAAGTAACATCGTCATTACTACAAGAAAGAAAGTATGCGTACGGTATCGTATATAAAAACAGATAGATACCGTTTGTCTTAGAATTTCGGAACGAATGATTTGCCAGAAATAATTCATAACACACAATGTTCTTCTAGTAGGCAAGAATTTTACATTTTTACAATTTTTAATTCCTGTTATTATGAAAACGTATATTTTATTGTTAAACTGAGGACTGGCTCGGACGTGCGATCTCGGCGATATTCTGCAGAAAGAATGCCGTCTGGCTTTGTGCTCTAGTTCAGGTACCTTTCTCGGTCCAACCCTCGTCCGGATACCCTAGCTCGGTTTATATGCATCGGCTACAAACATAAAAAATCGGAATCGACCCATGGTCCTTAACCTCGAGTGGCTTCTTCTACGAAATAGGCGAGGAAGTCTTCCCACGTCTAGGAACGGGCGGCCTGGTTAACGTTCTCTCACATTCTTTATTCCAAACAATATTTGTAGAAATATTTTATTAATAAGTTTAAACTTTCATAAAATTGAGTTTACAGGATAAAGATAATTCATTCAGGTTGTGAATTTACACATTTGTAAATAAAAATTTGTCATAACTAATTATGTTGTTCATAAAAATATCATGTTTCAATCAATTTTTTCTAATACTTTTAAATGAATGTTAATAGTCAAATATGTACTAAATTTTTCATCCCAATTTTCATTAGCCTCTGTTTTAAATTCTCCGTTTATATTCCTTCATTGATGATGTACCATTCAATTCAGTAAATAATTCTCAAAATAAATTTGGCAACACTGTTCATAATTTTTCAAATTTTAATTTTCATCACTAGTAGTAGCTGCGATGCAAAATCGGTACGACAGGATGTGACATAAAAATCGTAAGGTTTTGAATATCTTATTACCATGGCCGAAAAAATATATTGGATGCAATATATACCTCGTCTGTGTCTAAAGATATACCTCGGCTGTGTGCTGATGATATACAATTGACAACACGGATATCGTTTTCTTGAACTAACTTGTACGTAGTTTTTTTGTTCACTATTGTTTGAGCGTAGAATGCGCCAAAAAACCAATGATTTTTTCCTGCTCGATATTTCAGACCTTAAGACACGAGAACCCATTTGATGTCCGGTTTATCTTAATTAGTCAATGGTAAAACTTAAATTTTCATAGTTATGTTTTTTACATACTGAAACATATGTTTTCTACCAGCTACATGATGCAATAAAACAAAATATATAGTTATATGATGAAAAACATCAGAACCTTAAAATTCTTGAAAAAAAGTAACTGTGAGAAAAATATTTCAAAATATTTCAAAAATGTTATAAGTTATTAGCTTTTTGGATACTATTCATAATAGGCAAATATATTTTTTACATCGTCACATTTTGAAAAAGATATTTATCATATTAACCTCACTTCCTATATAAATATATATAGCTATTTATAAATATCTGAGAACAGAAATTAACCCTTATGAGGTAAGAAACTAATAGGGGTTTCCGTTTCACTTTGGAGTCAGTAAGTTAAGTAAATAACAATTAATTTTACAAAACCTTTGATATAAAAATCATATGCTGCAATATATATTATGTGTGTCTTTAACAATTATTTTTTATGATTTTAATTTGATGACTTTTCTCATATACCATAAAAATTGTCTCCTTTTTTGTTACTATTTTCTAACATATACAGTCCTATTTGTTTACTTAACTTAGTTTACCTATATTTTAAAGATTTGGAATAATTTAGACTACAAGATCAAATTTTGGAAAAAAATTTAATACATTCCTGTATGTACAATAAATTTTATTTATTATATGTTAATTTTTTACTTTGCACTTACATTACACTTGTATAAATTTTCAAAAAAATTTGAATGAAGAAAAAGCACAATGATTGATTGTATTTCTCTTGATTCACTAATATATTTGTTTATCATCTTAATCTAATGAGAAAAACTGGTTAAAATTATTCTACTATAACTTATTGTATTTACTGTATTTGAGTATTGTTTTATTTCTAACATTACGAACAATTTTCGATATTGAACTAATGTTAAAAATAGATAAATCTAACAAAATGATTCTATTATTCTCCTTATTAATTAAGGTACTTTGGTCATGCAGTCACACTAAGAAAGGATAAAATAAAATTAGTAGCTATAATAATACGATACAAATGTGTAAGCAATACAACAATTTGATTTTTCTTTGTTCTAGAAGAGTACATAATAAGTTGTATAATATATAAAGTAGTTATATATAAAAGTACTTCAAAATAATATACTTGCGATTGTAATATTATTTATATAAAAGTATAAAACAGAATAATATAGAATAAAACATATAAGCCAAATATGTAATATTCCATAATTAAATCGCTCATCTATACATTATATGTCTACATTTCACAAAACGAAAGATACAATCGTATTAAAAAAAAAATCAACATCGCAGGAAAATTTCTCAACGAAGAATAAGAAAAATCAAGTAATTAGATGATTTAAGATCCATTTCTTTCGTTGCATTGCGTTTATTACATTTATAGAAGTAGAAATTCATAAAAATCCACGATCTAATCATATTTTTTAAATTATGTTTCATTGCAAGTTCGCAATTTAAATTTTGAATTTGTTAAAATACATTATCATAGTAAAAACTTAATATTCTTTTCAGCGTCGGTGCTAAAACTCCCATTCTTCGTTACTGGGGCTATCTATTTACTCTATCAAAGCTAGTTGAATTCGGCGACACATTCTTCATTGTGTTACGAAAACAACCCTTAATATTTCTACATTGGTACCACCATATTGTGACATGTCTTTACGGTTGGCTCTGCTACGTAGAAGAAGCAGAACACGTCAAGTGGTTTGGTCTTATGAACGCTATTATTCACAGCTGTATGTACACTTATTATACCTTCAAAGCAACGGGATACCGTCTACCAAAATGGTTAGCCATGATGATCACTTCATTACAATTATCACAAATGTTTGTGGGCACTTTTCTAGCTATGATAATTTACTATTACATATATATTGCCAAAATTAAATGTCACATTTCTTCGCTGAATATGACTATTACTACAATCATGTACGTCAGTTATGCCATTCTTTTTTCTAGATTTTTCATACAGGCGTATCTTTCTGACAAATCTGTGAAGAACATCGAAAAAAAAACCGATGTCAATAGCAAGTTGAAGGCTACCTGAAATATGTATTGGAAAATATATTTTTCAGTATATAATAATTCATATTTGTAAACATTATTCATGACATATTTTTCTCGAATTTGCTAAAATCTCATTTATATTAAATAATTTTTAGTTGAAAGATCAATCTTAATTAAGCTACATTTCTAAATTTGATTGTGTTGATCAAAAATGTCCTGTACATACGAATGTTCGATTTTCTTCTTATAGAAACGACGAACCAAAGAAATATAAAAACCGTAAGGAAGCATATTATTAATACTTATATAAATAGATAGTTTTACATATTATATAACAATGATCCTCACAAATAAATTATCTGAATTTACATATATTTACATACAATTAATGTATCTATAATTATAATTATATATATACATTATAATGTGTTTATATTACATAAACTATGTATATATTAAAATATACATGAACATATTACATATGATATATTACATTATTATATACAATATATTTATAATTACAGTATATATTAATGTAAACTGCCTTATTCTTTATGTGTAGTGACTACATTTATTTACTACATATATAATAAGACTACTGATTTTTACTATTCTATTGACTGTATTATTTTTCCTTCATATAATAGGAAATTTAAATTCAAATAAGTGGATTCAATCGGCAAGAATTTATTTAATCGGATTGTTTGAAAAGTCGAGGCAATGGAGGAGCAAACTTTCGCCCTCACACTTTCACTTTTCTGATTTCTAAAACAGCGGATGCTCCAAGTGGAATTCTTAGAACCCCAGCCGCTTGGCCTGGGAAAAAACAAACATTCGTATTTCTCGGCACTTCGAGCGTCATGTGTTCGAGCCTCATGCGAGCCTACATTCCTGGGGTCTGGACTTTGTCGTCCGCGACGAATCGCTCGCACCGAGGTACGTCTCTGGCAGGCCTACATGAACGCGTCGTAGTGCCAGACTGTCCCCTTGAGTCCTAAGTTTGGGAGAAGGGGCACAAGCCCGAGCATAGTTCAGTTCTTTCTGAACAACCCTCGAGTTCACTTCGGCAACGCAGTGTCAGTGTTATCTGTGCAGTGCAAGCTTTCTTCTGTTTGTGACCACGGGCAAACCTCGAGCACACTTCAATAAATAACGCTTTCTCTCGAGAACTTGATACAGCACCGGAGAAGGAATTCTCTGGGGAGAATTCCTTTCGGCCTACGAACGAAGCACTGAAGCGTCCTTCTCCAGCAATCGAGACAATCAACGTGCCCAGCACGAGTAAGGACTGCTCATAGTGAAGCCTGACGACAAGCGCGCCTTGCAGCCCCAACGGGACTTCCTCAACGAAGTCATTCTCCAGGCTTGTCTTGCACTTCAGGGGACTTCTCAGCTAAGTCACCCTCCAGGCGTGCTTTCCACATTCAGAGGACTTTCCCTGCGAAGTCACTCTCCAGGCGTGCTTTACACATTCAAGGGACTTCCGCAGCTAAGTCACTCTCCAGGCTTGCTTTGCACTTCAGGCTTGCTTGCATTCCACATTCCCAGGACTTCTTCCTTGAAGTCAGAGACCACGCTAGCTCTCCCAATCGAGAGTCTAAAAGCTACTCCGTGCGATCTGTCTTCAGCGACGGCATCAATAACCTGTGTAAGTCGCTGTCTTCAGCGACGGCATCAGTAACCTGTGTAAGCCGCTGTCTTCAGCGACGGTACCTGCGTGAGCTGCTGTCTTCAGCGACAGCATCAGTAACTTGTCGACGGCACCTTTGTGAGCTGCTGTCTGCGTCAACGGCACCGGTGTGAGCTGCTGTTTTCATCAACGGTACCTGCGGGAGCTGCTGTCTTCAGCAACGTTACCTTCGTGAGCTGCTGTCTGCGTCAACGGTACCGGTGTGAGCAGCTGTCTTCGTCAACGGCACCCGTATGAGCTGCGTGAGCTGCCGTTGCATCGAACCACATTCACCAGGCGATACTCGTTCCAGCCTTCACAGCTAAGTGGCGCTCAGATCCTCCACGACACTTCAGCATCGCGAGCGATTTAATTGTGCAGAACGTGGTCGGGAAATATATTCATTTGTCAAAAGATATTCGTCTGTGTCGATCCCTCTGTTCACTTAACCCTTTTCTACATTTTAAACACAGATATTCACTATCACTTGATTCAAATGAAGAGTTCTATTCTACAATACTTCATTGCATTTAACATAGTGGAAACGCTTTCTTTTTCGTTAAAATTTCCAGAGAAATTTTTATTATATACTATTCCACTAGTATTCATGAATAATTTTTTCATTCATTAATCATCTTCTGGTTTTATTATTTTATCTGCATTTATATTTCCTAAATAAAATTTTAAAGAATAAATAAGAACGTATTTTATTCATTTATGTATTTCCCATTTTTTAATAGTAATAAGAGAATAAAAATTATTTTATCTCTCTATATATCTTTCGCCTATATATAATTGGCTGTGATTTTAGTAATCTGAAATTTGATATTCTTATTGAGACAAAAATGTTAGGAGTTTCATATAATATTTTTTATTATGAATAAATATTGAAAGCAATGATGGGTGATTGAGTCAACAATTCGGATATTCCAATTGGAAGTAGAGAAATGGACGCATTATAACGTTATACTTCAATATTGTATCTATATCTTCGTTCGTCTTTAAGTATTGTAATCATCGAAATATAAACATATTAGGAACTAGTAAAGCAGTATTAAGAAAATGGTGCCCGGAAACACAGTTTGATGCATTTTTAATTTGGATAATATTTGGATATTGATATTTTAGAGAACTCTTTCGTCCACATAATTAGCGGTCTGCTTTAACTTTCGAGATATTACAAGTTCGAAATATCGTTATTATAGTACTTTAAATAGAGACTAATTCTTATTTTCCGTTTATAGTATATGCAGGATATCCCATTTGAAGCATAATTATCTCCTAACCGAGTTTGTAAAAAATAGTAAAATTTACTTTGTTTTGAGAGGACCATCTTAAAATCACAAATCTTAAAGTATTTTAAAGTTTAATAGACGAAAATCCGTGTTTTCGGCGCGGTATGATTAGCTTGAAATTTCAATTTTTATTCATAAAGAATAAATTTTAGTAAAACGTTAAAATTATATTAATACTTATGAATATATACAGTAATAAAATAAAAATTATTTCAATAATTGATGTTTAAGTGCTTATCAATTAGTGTATCAGCAAAATAAAAATTTAAATAATTTATTTTAACAATACTATTTTAACAATATACGGAGCTTTCAAGCTGTCATCTATCTAACAACAAATGTTGTCATACTTGTATCATACTAAGTATATCACATTATCACTGTCTGCACTACTATATCGAAAAATTATTTAGCTTTAGTACAGAATGACCAAATCATTAGAATAAAACAAAATGTTGAGAGATAGAGAGATAGTGGATATGAGGCAAAGACTCCGAATATAAAATCTTTGATGTGGGTTTTTATTAATTACTGGAAATATTGATAATGAAACTGAGATTACAGTACATAGAATTCTGCCTATACATATATTACTACAACCGTCCTTGAGCCTTAATTTCCAAGTTAACAAAAATTCTTTTCATAAACACTGTAAAATAAAGCTATTTTCAAAACCAACTCGGAGGTGACATGTTTTTAAAAATTTCATCAAAGTGTTTTTAATAATCAAATGGGCTAAGACTTGGAGAATATGCAGGATGGGATAGAACATTCTGATCCCATCTGATCTTATGTACTCCTTGTTAAGGATAGTCTCGACTGTTGTCGATCCTGTTCTTCTGTGTATATAGCTTGAAGGACTTCCCATTGGTGTGGGTAATGAATGAATTTGACGAATATTGTTTGGAACTTGAGTGTAATAATCCTGATGTTGGCTGCACAACGACTGGTGTCGTTTCCCTCGTTGGACTTACGATATGCAGGGTGGACGATTCTTGAACTGATTTGAAAAATTGCATCTGACGAATTGTCTGAAAGAACTGTTTCACAAAAACTGCCCTATTCTATTCCTATTCTATCCCTTTATAAAGCCGATTGTGTTCTTCCTGATCACGTAATTGCGAAGATAATTAATTGTGGGCCAAGAGGCAGCGTCGGGCAAGGTCAGTCTGATAAAGTAATACTTACAATTACTCGAGGACGATCGGTCGAAGTTCACGTCGTGAGAATATCTCTAAATCTGAAAGCTCGCTGCTTGCTATAAGGAAAATTCCCGTCCATCCATTCCCGTCTCAGACAGCCCTAATTGACCGAGTCGTTTTCGGTTTTAACCAATTAGGTTGTCACGAAATTGTGCCGCCCATTCCTTGTGTTCGTAACGCGCTTTCTCCAAGAGTGGGGCTGCAATTTCGCCGGGACCGATTTTCCTGATTTATGGCGGTGTAGCAGAGTTTTCTCTGACTCTAATTTACTTTCTCCAAGCGTTTTCCATAGATCTGGGTGGGACATAGGAGACCTATGCTTTACGACGCTTCGCAGAAATGCTATTGTGGCCGAATTTCTAGAACCTCGAGTGTGGACGTTTGGTCTTACGCACTGTGGGAACTAAACTTGGCCTTTACAATTCAATAGCGCAGACGACACGTGAGTCGTAAACTCTCCTAACTTCTTGTCTGAGAAAACGACCTTCTCAGACATCTGCTAGTTGCTACACACTCTTGGCCTTAACCCTCCTTTCATTCAAAAATTATATTTCCACAAAAATTTTTTTTTCATTTGTTTTGTGTGTATGAGTAATTGTTCAGTTACAATTATTTTCATTTTTTATATTATTATTGTTTGAGAGCGTGTCGATACAGTTATCGGCAATCACTAGTTTTTTTTTATGGGATTAGTTCCGTTTTATACATGTTTGGCTGTATTCCATTTGTTAGTTAGTAAGATCCAGCTGTTACCTTTTCAGTCTTCTGGGTAGTAGGGAGTAACAGTCTTTTGCCAGGGAGTTCCTGTGATTTTTGATTTTGTGTTGATGTGTCCTTGCGTACTTCAGTATTTCCTCTTTGATGGTTGGTATTCCTAGGGTTTTTCTTATGTCATCGTTTCTGACATACCAT